GGACAGGTCTCCTGCCACAGCTGAGACAGCTGAATCCCAGCATTCAGCCCCTGGAGCAGAAAGTGGCCATCTTGACTGGGGGAGTGTGTTTTACTGGAGACCTGTGGAGCTCATTCCCTTTGGTAGTTTTTTTTGGGGGGTTGCATTAGCCACCTGCAATGAGAGCAGTCTTCAGCTGAGCTCTGAGGTGACAAAGGTAGAGGGCAAGGCTAAGGCACAATAAAAATATCTTCCTGTTTAGCAGCTGCTCAGGTAAGGGCCTTTGCATTACTTGCCAGGGAGCTGGGGCTCATGTGCAAGACATTAAATGCTTAAATGGGTTTCAGGCCCTGCCTTGCTTGTGTTCATGGCTCTAGTGAAGGATGGGTATGTAATGGTCACAGGCCTATAGTGCCTACAAAAAATGTGGCAGCTGTCCCTTTCTCTGCATGCCAATATCCTGGCTCAGATGGTTTAATTCCTGGAAGTGTGAAGACAGCCTGTAGCCTCCTGTGACACGGAGTAGTCTGTCCCTTGTGCATCTAATATAGTTTCCACAAGAGCTCAATCCTGCAGTCTGATTAGTTACAAATCTTTAAGATGCAGCAAGTCTGCAAGTCTGGCACTCTCGCCACTAATACACATCCTCTCACAGAGTAGCATTTGGAGAAAAACGCTCAGCTTTTTGAACATGAAAACACTTCACAGTGGGGAGTTACCAGCACCAAAAAAAGACCCTGTGTCTCCAAAACTCACTTTATTTTAGCAAAATAAGAAGTGCCATAATAAGCCAGACTCAACTCCCTCCCTTTATTCCATATTGGAGGGGGTTGTAGGGACTCTTTGGGCTAATATGAGCAAAAGCATGTAAGACACACACACACACATACACACACACACCCCGCCAATAATCAGGAGGCAGAACATGCTTCTAAGCAATGCTTGTTACTGAGAACATGCCTGCATGTAATGTGCATGTAGGTTCACCATGCCTTTTCCTCTCAAAGCTGCTTGTTGGTTCTTCTGTCTGTGGCCAAGGACATGCAGCAGCGTCATCTAGAAGCAGGCTCTTTCATCTCAGTTCAGAGGCCATATGCAGTCAGGCTTTTGCCAGTCTCTGTCAACGGAGCCTCCACAACCTCTCTGGGCAACCTGGTCCCGTTTGACCATCCATGTTCAGGCACCCAAATAGAAAGAAGAAAAAAAAAAAAAGGGGGGGGATTTCCTGTATTTGCATGGAATTTATGTATGTCAGTTTGTGGCTATTGCCTCTTGCTCTGTCACAGCACTGAGCACTCCTGAGAAGGGCCTGGCTTTTCACTGCCTCCCTCTCCACCAGGTGTGCTCAGTCCCATCATCCAGGTCATTAATGAAGATGTTCCACAGTTTTGGTTCCGATATCGATTGACCCTGAGGGTACACCACTAGGGACTGACCTAGCTGGACAATGTGCTGCTGAACTTTTTTAGCACAGCAGTTCAGCTAGTTTGCAGCCCACTTACCTAGTGCATACTTAATCAGTTTGAGGACATTAGGGAAGACAGTATCAAAAGCCTTACTAAACTTAAGGTAAGTAACGTCCATCTCTCCTCGACCAAGACATTTATCTCATCATAGCATGCTATTGGGTTGATTAAGCATGATTTCCCCTTTGTAACTCCATGCTGACTACTTCCAATCACCTTCTTGTCCTTAATGTGTTTGGAAACAGCTTCCAGGATTATTTCTCCATCACCTTTCCAGGGAGTGAGGTGAGGCTGATGAGCATATAGTGCTACAGATTCTTTTTGCCCTTCCTGAATATGAGTGACATTTTCCTTCTTCCAGTCCTTGGGAACCTCCCCCGATGCCCATGACCTTTCAAAGGATATTGAATGTGGCCTTGCAATGACATTGGCCAGCTCCCTAAGCCACTCACGTGGCACGGCCTTGTCTAAGTCCAGTTTCAGTGTTCTAACCCAATCCAGCTCTGCTGAAGGAAGTCTTCCATTCTCCAGGCTTTCCCACTCATCGTAAGGACCTCAAATTCCTGAAGGCAAGTCCTACCAGTAAAGGCCGAGACAAAGGCAGCACTGAGTGCCTCGGCCTCTTCTGTGTCTGCTGTCAGCAGGTCCCCTGCTCCACTGAGCACAGAGGGGCCACATTTTCCTTAGTGTTCCTTTTGCTGCTGATATATCTGCAGAATCATTTCTTGTTATCTTTCATGTCTCTCACCAGATTAAGTATTTCTAATTAAAACATGGAATAAACACAGGGGTATCTGGAATATGAAAAACACTCATTGAAAAAAAAAAAAACACTGAGCAAGATAATAACCACTATTGAAAACCAGTAAAGAGAACAGTGAAACACCAGTCAAATATGCCATTTGGATTTACAGGAAATATTTATTGTTACTAATGTAGAAATAATTGTCCAGCTTAAACTCCTTTCCAGGACTTTTCCTTAGGACTGAGAAAATAAGCAAGTTGTTGTGGTTTTTTTTTTAAAAAAAACTCGTACACCCTCTACTGGACATTATATCCTACTGCTGCAAGGGTAAACATGATTACCAATGTTTAATCCTCCTCTTTTTCTTGCTTTCAAAATCGCTTCAACTCAAGTCCCTCTTCAGCTCTTTGCCAGTAAAATACATAGTACAATTTAAATCTATGGATATACTCAACAGTTGCAAAGCAGCACAGAAAAGGTTCTGCTCTTCCTCTTGCTCCTTGCTGTAAATACGTGAGCGCCACTCCCCTTTCAATTTCCACATCGAGGAATTCCACAAACAAGACTTAGCTGCAGCATTCCACTTAAGTTGCACTGAAGTCAGAGCTGCTACTTGAGTTTGCATTAGTGTAGGTGAAAGGAGAGCAGTGACTCCAGTGACTCTACAATTTAGTGACTCTACAGTTTAGATACTGCACAGTAAGGGACTGGCATAAAAGAAATTTATTTTTTGCAGCATTAAGTTTAAAGAAAAGAAACTTTCTTTTCTCCTTTGTTGGCATAGGAATCAACATTTTGCAGCCTACAGAAAATGCACATAAGAAACCATTAGGAAAATGCACAAGATATAAGCTTGCTAGAAAAAAGCCAGTTCATCATGCTTAGCCTTGCTGCTCTGGTAACTGTGGAGACTCAGCGGCTTACTCTCGTGAGGAAGGCTTCTGAACACCCGCAGGTGCATGAACTCATCATTGCCAACATGGACCTGCAAAGCATGAAAAACAGTGAGTTCCATGGAGTAACAGCAGCC